GAATTTTTTAAATCTGACTTCAGATTTGGATTCAGCGACCTCGAAAACCCCCGAGAAATGAATTTCCCTTAAAACGCTTTAATTTTAAAATTATCCACCATATTTGGTCGCCATATTGGATCCGCCATTTTGAATTTTCAAAAATTAACCTCAAATTCGAATTCAGCGACCCCAAAAACCTTATATATGATTAAATCATATTTTTTTGTAAACTTTTTTTTCGGACCGTTTTTGGACCACAAGCGATTTTCAACTAGACTGCGAAGGGGTTAAAATAAATAATCAAGAGAACTGACAGAAATACGAATACAAATTTTTCAACATACGGATTTTAATCCATATAAAAATTTGAATTCAATTTCTTAATTTTCACTCAGAGAAATGATACATTTACTTCTGCCGAATAACATTTTTATTTCAATGAAATAATTACGTTAGTCGTCCTTTAAGAAAAATGTATTAATTATATTTAATTCAAATAAATTATATTTGCTTTAAATAAAACATTTCTTTGGGTCCCTGAAATTATAGAAAATGAAAATTTAATTATAAATCGAAACATGAAAAATTTTTCAAGTAATAAAAATTAAAAAAATTTATTTAATGATAGAAGAGTCTAAACTCCGTCTTTCCTATCGGAAAAACGGACGGTTGGAGTTTTCTCTCATTAAAATAGTAACTTTAAACATGTACCTGGAGTGAAATGGCTGAAACAGAAGAAACACAAAAATTAACGAGAGAGAATTTTTAATTTAACATAGCGACACTGAAGAAAACATTCACACACAGAAAAAAATTATGTTTCCCTACCTAAACAGAGTGAACTACCAAATCACACATTCCACACCTCCGGAGGTGTGTGGCCTCGGTGCAAACCTAGGGATACCGTCCCGGGACGGCACCCGTCACCTGAGCTCAAATATTCTCATTTTCTCAAAAGAGGAGAGGGTATCCATCACCAAGGTGTTGCACATTGTACTCAAGAAATGCATGTAATTTATAAATTTACTAATTCAAATTGTTATTTTTAATCAATTTTTTAATTACTTAATAAAGATATGTACTTGAAAAAATAGTGTCTCGAAATGATATTTTTCTTGTTCTCAAAATCAAAGTTTCTTATTTAAAATTTTTTTTAATTAAAATATAAATTCCAAGGTTTTTACACCTGAAGGGAATTTAATAATAAAAAAGCTCAAGAGTTTCAACATTTTTTATTTACACTAACATTGACAAATAACTAGAAAGAAAAAATTGCAGAATATTTTTTTATGGAATTATTATTATATATAATTATAATTATAATTAGAGAAGATTGAAAAAGTAAAATCAAAAAAGAGTACAATGAACAATGTAATCCTGAAATAAATAGCAAGTTTCAAAAGTTTAATTTTACAAACCCGAAAGTTTGTATAATTAAAAAAAAATGAAAATTACTATTTTCGACAAATTAATTTCTGAAATAGAGATCATTTTAGAAATTAATAATTTCAGGTTGTGTCGCTATGTTAGTAGGTAAAAAGCACTCACCGTCGCGGATTCCCACGACGGAGCGATGGCACCATCGCCTCTTCTGGACCAGCCCCCCAGTGGCCCCTCTTCTATGCGGGGAGACCGGGGTTGCTATGTAGAGGCCATGCTTTCTCTGCATCCTCCTTCCTGTCCCACCAGTCTGAAACAATAAACAGAAAATAATTATTATAAATATTAAAAAAAATTAAAAAAAAAAAATAATCCAAGTCCTTAAGGGCATTTGAAACATTATGACATCACTGTTTATGAAAAGCATTGGTTCGAATATTGTGAAGTAATAATGGTTTCAATGACCTTAAAATAAAAAAAAATAAAAATTTTTTTAAATTAATAATTAAATAAAAATAAAAATGAGTTTAAATAAAAGAAAAAATTTTAAAGTAAAAATAAATAAAAATCAAATAATTAAATATTAATTAAACTAAAAAAAAAATTTAAATAAATTAATTGAAAAATAATTAATTAAAAAAAAATGATTTAATTAAAATAACAAAATTAGACTTACAGCGGTCAGTCTCAGCCTATACCCGATCTCCATCCCGGAGCGGCACTCGTACGATGTCATCATGGGCACAAAAAAAAAATTACACTCATTCCCGGTTTCAAAAATATTTCGAGCACTCCCGAACCTCGTGTCAAAAATAAAAAAAAGGGTGGACACTTTTTATTACATGAAACGATCGCGGTTTTAAATATTACGAACACTCCCGTTATTGTAAAAGGGTAAAATTATTTTATATTAAATTTGAAAAAAAAAAAATTTCCCCTAAAATTCGTTTCGGTTTTAACAAAAGATGACGCACATTTCCCGTAGCTAACACTCCCGAAAAAAAAGAAAAAAATTAATTAAATAGTCCTTATACACGTGGCACCCCCCCCCACACTTCCTTTGATGGTAGCCTTCCTTGAACATATCCATTACGCGGTACCACATACACGACTGTTCACTTGCCCGGCTCTGGCTGTACTAAAAATTCAAAAATAATTTTCAGCGGGCCTAAAATTTTGACAACTTCCCCCCCCCCCTTTCTAAACTTTGCTGAGAGTTCAGTCGAACCATAAATGACGTCACAAAGGCGAGGACTTTCGAGAATTGCAAGGGGATTCTCTTTCTCTCTCTCTCTCTTATAGTGAAATTCAAAATTTATTAATTTAAATATAAAAGAAAAAAAATTTTTAATTAGAATATAATTATATTAAATAAATTTAATATTTTATATAATATTTTATCAAATAAAAAATTCAAGAATATGGAAAAATTAAAAAATTTTAAAAAATTTATTATTTATTAATTTTAATAAACGAAAACAATTTTCAAAATTTTCTCCCCTCTCTCTACTGAATATAGTCGGGCCATAAGTGACGTCACATGGTCAATGACTTCTGAGAATTGGAAAAGGATTTTTTTTTTCTCTCTCACTCTTTTAGAGAAAATAAAAAATTTATTAATTTAAATATAAACGAAAAAAAATTTTTAATTAAAAATATAATTATATTAAATAAATTTAATATTATATTTAATATTTTAGCAAATAAAAAATTCAAGAATATGGAAAAATTAAGAATTTTTAAAAATTTATTAATTTTAATAAACGAAAACAATTTTCAAAATTTTCTACCCTCTTTCTACTGAATATAACCGGGCCATAAATGACGTCACATTGTCAATGACTTCCGAGAAATGGGAAAGGCATTCTCTTTCTCTCTCACTCTTATGGATAAATTCAAAATTTATTAATTTAAATATAAAAGAAAAAAATAATTTTGAATAAAATATAATTATATTAAATAAATTTAATATTGTATATAATAAATATTTTAGCAAATAAAAAATTCAAAAATATGGAAAAATTAAGAATTTTCAAAAATTTATTAATTTAAATAAACGAAAACAATTTTCAAAATTTCCTCCCCTCTCTTTACTGAATATATCCGGGCCATAAGTGACGTCACATGGTCAATGACTTCCGAGAAATTTGAAAGGCATTCTCTTTCTCTTTCACTCTTATGGATAAATTCAAAATTTTCAAAAATTTATTAATACTGAGTACGAAAAATTAATTAATTATTTTTGCTTTTTAAAATATTTTTTACCTCCTTTTTACTTCAGTAACTTATTTTCTGGAAATTGAAATAATTTTAATTTAAACAACTTTTTAATTTTTAATTAATTTACATTTTTTAATGATTTTAATTTACAATTTACTGAAAATTCACTGAAAATATTCATACAATTATTGTTATTAATTATTTATTTATTTATTTATTAATATACATTCCCGCAGTCCAATATTGGACCATAAACGATTATCTAGATAAACAATTAAGTAATAATTAAGTAATAATAATCTATTTTAAAAAACATTTTCAGATGGAAAAATAAAAAAATTATTTTAAAGAATAATTTTCCAAAGGAAAGAGTTTTTTTATTTCGAAATATTTTATATAAAATATAGGTAGTTAATTTAATTAACAATATTTTCTTAATTAAATGATTTTTAATATTCTACTATTTTAATAAAATTTCCCAAAATAATTCAATTATTAAACTAAAATTTTGTCAATATTTTACTCGAACATTCAATTATTTTCCAAACAAATAAAAATTTCACAGGAATTCAATTATTGAAAATAGAATTTGCATATATTATTTCGAAAAAATCAAATGTTTTAAACAGGTTAGGCATTAAATTCTTAGCAGTAATTCAATTATTTTCATAAATTTTAAAATTCTTTTCAGGGATTTAATTATTTTTATAATTAATAAAACCATTCGGGGGAAGTCAATTATTTTCATAAGGGGTCGTCCATATACCACGTGGACAATTTTGGGGGGAGGGGGGGTTTAAAAATGTCCACGATCTCATGTATTTTTGTGTCCACAAGGATTATGGACGACCCCTTAATAACAATATTCATCACAAGAATTCAATTATTTACAAAAATTTAAATAAAATTCATTGCAAAATTTTAATTATTTTCAAAAATAATTGTTCTTTATTTAATAATTTGTATTTAAGTATCTATTATTTTAATAAAATTTCCAAAAAAATTCAATTATTTAAAAATAATTTTTAATGGAATTCAATTTTAAGACACATGCAATTATACAATAAATTTTTTTTGTATTTAAATAATTGCCTTTCAGTAGAATTTTCCAATGAATAAAAATAGATTTAAGTTAAAATTGTAGATTTGTAAATCCGAATCTGAAGTTACAATTAAAATGTTCAAAATGGCGGTTTCAAAATGGCGACCGGAAAGTTTTAAATTCATCCAGATTAATCTAACTTAAAATTTTTTCCAGTCGACATTTCGAAGCCGCCATTTTGGATCTTTTGGATTTTTAGTTTTACTGGCAATTTTTCAGATTACGTGGGCAAAAAATAATTTTACTTTTAGATTAAATTAAAAATTTGTGTCGACTTGAATTAATTATGAAAATTCTGTTTTGCGAATTTTTCCAGTTGACATTCGACAGTTTTACATTGGGAAAATTTGTATCGTTCACGGCCGATGGATGTCCAGATGGTTCCTTACAGATTTCCGAAGTGAAACGACCCGACGCCGGTGGCTTGTGGTGTGGGACATCCTGGGGTCCAGCGATATACTACAGCGAAACCCCTAGCGTATCTATAACACTTCGACTCTTCAGGCTCAGTAAGGATCAAACTGGATTCAATTTTGACTTTAGGATGGCGTACAAGACAATTCGAAGGTCAGACGCCGTTGTGCGCTATGGAAATCCCTTTGTTGGTACGAATTCACCATACTTTTTATTCATCGTTTCATATTTCATAAAAAAAATTTCTTTACCTTATCAATAAATAAATAAATCTTTAAATCGTTCTCTTAATTTGAACTGTTCACCACTCACTAAATTTGAATTAGTAAGAACATTCACTACTTTGTATTATAAACTGAATTTTTGCTTTCGATTCAGTAAATTTTACTAATAAATTAATAAAAATTACTATTTATTACTAAAATTTATTAATTGAAAAGCAAAAAATAAATCACTACTTCAAATTAGTAAATAATTTTACTATGAATATTTTATATTAAAATTTAGAGAGTTTCACTAAAATTTTTTAATTTTTTTAATTATTACTAAAAAAAATTAAGTAATTGACTCGGTAAAACTAACGACCCGCCGGCCGCCACCCATCAGAAGAATCCATAGGCGCCGACACACATAGTAGCGCGGTGGCCCTATACGGTTCAATCAACGCAAAAAAAACGTACGCTAGCTATTACAGTTTATAGAAAAAAAATGCAATAGTCACATTTTAAAAAGCAATAATCCCCCTTTAATTTGCGACCAAGAAACAAAGATTTGGTCTGAAATTGTTCGAGTTATGAATTTTTTCCAATTTTTTTCCCAATTTTTGTTTTTCTGATACGGGCGGGTGGGGACGCTGACTATCAAAAATTTTTTAAATAAATTCTTATTGGTCACATTTTAAGGACCAAGAATCCCTCTTTAATTTGCGACCAAGAAACAAAGATTTGGTCTGAAATTGTTCAAGTTATGAATTTTTTTCCGATTTTTTTTCCAATTTTCGTTTTTCTGATACGGGCGGGTGGGGACGCTGACTATCAAAAATTTATTAAAAATATTTTCAATTGTCACATTTTGAAGAGCAATAATCCCCCTTTAATTTCCGACCAAGAAATAAGCGTTTGGTCTAAAATTGTTCGAGTTATGAATTTTTTTCCGATTTTTTTTCCAATTTTCGTTTTTCTGATACGGGCGGGTGGGGACGCTGACTATCAAAATTTTTTTAAATAAATTCTTATTGGTCACGTTTTAAGGACCATGAATCCCTCTTTAATTTGCGACCAAGAAACAAAGATTTGGTCTGAAATTGTTCGAGTTATGAATTTTTTTCCGATTTTTTTTCCAATTTTCGTTTTTCTGATACGGGCGGGTGGGGACGCTGACTATCAAAAATTTTTTAAATAAATTCTTATTAGTCACATTTTAAGGACCATTAATCCCTCTTTAATTTGCGACCAAGAAATAAGCGTTTGGTCTAAAATTGTTCGAGTTATGAATTTTTTTACGATTTTTTTTCCAATTTTCGTTTTTCTGATACGGGCGGGTGGGGACGCTGACTATCAAAATTTTTTTAAATAAATTCTTATTGGTCACGTTTTAAGGACCATGAATCCCTCTTTAATTTGCGACCAAGAAACAAAGATTTGGTCTGAAATTGTTCGAGTTATGAATTTTTTTCCGATTTTTTTTCCAATTTTCGTTTTTCTGATACGGGCGGGTGGGGACGCTGACTATCAAAAATTTTTTAAATAAATTCTTATTAGTCACATTTTAAGGACCATTAATCCCCCTTTAATTTGCGACCAAGAAACAAAGATTTGGTCTGAAATTGTTCGAGTTATGAATTTTTTCCAATTTTTTTCCCAATTTTTGTTTTTCTGATACGGGCGGGTGGGGACGCTGACTATCAAAAATTTTTTAAATAAATTCTTATTGGTCACATTTTAAGGACCAAGAATCCCTCTTTAATTTGCGACCAAGAAACAAAGATTTGGTCTGAAATTGTTCAAGTTATGAATTTTTTTCCGATTTTTTTTCCAATTTTCGTTTTTCTGATACGGGCGGGTGGGGACGCTGACTATCAAAAATTTATTAAAAATATTTTCAATTGTCACATTTTGAAGAGCAATAATCCCCCTTTAATTTCCGACCAAGAAATAAGCGTTTGGTCTAAAATTGTTCGAGTTATGAATTTTTTTCCGATTTTTTTTCCAATTTTCGTTTTTCTGATACGGGCGGGTGGGGACGCTGACTATCAAAATTTTTTTAAATAAATTCTTATTGGTCACGTTTTAAGGACCATGAATCCCTCTTTAATTTGCGACCAAGAAACAAAGATTTGGTCTGAAATTGTTCGAGTTATGAATTTTTTTCCGATTTTTTTTCCAATTTTCGTTTTTCTGATACGGGCGGGTGGGGACGCTGACTATCAAAAATTTTTTAAATAAATTCTTATTAGTCACATTTTAAGGACCATTAATCCCTCTTTAATTTGCGACCAAGAAATAAGCGTTTGGTCTAAAATTGTTCGAGTTATGAATTTTTTTACGATTTTTTTTCCAATTTTCGTTTTTCTGATACGGGCGGGTGGGGACGCTGACTATCAAAATTTTTTTAAATAAATTCTTATTGGTCACGTTTTAAGGACCATGAATCCCTCTTTAATTTGCGACCAAGAAACAAAGATTTGGTCTGAAATTGTTCGAGTTATGAATTTTTTTCCGATTTTTTTTCCAATTTTCGTTTTTCTGATACGGGCGGGTGGGGACGCTGACTATCAAAAATTTATTAAAAATATTTTCAATTGTCACATTTTGAAGAGCAATAATCCCCCTTTAATTTCCGACCAAGAAATAAGCGTTTGGTCTGAAATTGTTCGAGTTATGAATTTTTTTCCGATTTTTTTCCCAATTTTCGTTTTTCTGATACGGGCGGGTGGGGACGCTGACTATCAAAATTTTTTTAAATAAATTCTTATTGGTCACGTTTTAAGGACCATGAATCCCTCTTTAATTTGCGACCAAGAAACAAAGATTTGGTCTGAAATTGTTCGAGTTATGAATTTTTTTCCGATTTTTTTTCCAATTTTCGTTTTTCTGATACGGGCGGGTGGGGACGCTGACTATCAAAAATTTTTTAAATAAATTCTTATTAGTCACATTTTAAGGACCATTAATCCCTCTTTAATTTGCGACCAAGAAATAAGCGTTTGGTCTAAAATTGTTCGAGTTATGAATTTTTTTACGATTTTTTTTCCAATTTTCGTTTTTCTGATACGGGCGGGTGGGGACGCTGACTATCAAAATTTTTTTAAATAAATTCTTATTGGTCACGTTTTAAGGACCATGAATCCCTCTTTAATTTGCGACCAAGAAACAAAGATTTGGTCTGAAATTGTTCGAGTTATGAATTTTTTTCCGATTTTTTTTCCAATTTTCGTTTTTCTGATACGGGCGGGTGGGGACGCTGACTATCAAAAATTTATTAAAAATATTTTCAATTGTCACATTTTGAAGAGCAATAATCCCCCTTTAATTTCCGACCAAGAAATAAGCGTTTGGTCTGAAATTGTTCGAGTTATGAATTTTTTTCCGATTTTTTTTCGAATTTTCGTTTTTCTGATACGGGCGGGTGAGGACGCTGACTATCAAAATTTTTTTAAATAAATTCTTATTGGTCACGTTTTAAGGACCATGAATCCCTCTTTAATGTGCGACCAAGAAACAAAGATTTGGTCTGAAATTGTTCGAGTTATGAATTTTTTTTCAGATTTTTTTTCCAATTTTCGTTTTTCTGATACGGGCGGGTGGGGACGCTGTCTGTCAAAAATTTATTAAAAATATTTTCAATTGTCACATTTTGAAGAGCAATAATCCCCCTTTAATTTCCGACCAAGAAATAAGCGTTTGGTCTAAAATTGTTCGAGTTATGAATTTTTTTCCGATTTTTTTCCCAATTTTCGTTTTTCTGATACGGGCGGGTGGGGACGCTGACTATCAAAAATTTATTTAAAATATTTTCAATTGTCACATTTTAAAGAGCAATAATCCCCCTTTAATTTCCGACCAAGAAATAAGCGTTTGGTCTAAAATTGTTCGAGTTATGAATTTTTTTCCGATTTTTTTTCCAATTTTCGTTTTTCTGATACGGGCGGGTGGGGACGCTGACTATCAAAAATTTTTTAAATAAATTCTTATTGGTCACATTTTAAGGACCAAGAATCCCTCTTTAATTTGCGACCAAGAAACAAAGATTTGGTCTGAAATTATTCGAGTTATGAATTTTTTCCAATTTTTTTCCCAATTTTCGTTTTTCTGATACGGGCGGGTGGGGACGCTGACTATCAAAAATTTATTAAAAATATTTTTAATTGTCACATTTTGAAGAGCAATAATCCCCTTTTAATTTCCGACCAAGAAATAAGCGTTTGGTCTGAAATTGTTCGAGTTATGAATTTTTTTCCGATTTTTTTCCCAATTTTCGTTTTTCTGATACGGGCGGGTGGGGACGCTGACTATCAAAAATTTATTTAAAATATTTTCAATTGTCACATTTTAAAGAGCAATAATCATCCTTTAATTTCCGACCAAGAAATAAGCGTTTGGTCTAAAATTGTTCGAGTTATGAATTTTTTTCCGATTTTTTTTCGAATTTTCGTTTTTCTGATACGGGCGGGTGAGGACGCTGACTATCAAAATTTTTTTAAATAAATTCTTATTGGTCACGTTTTAAGGACCATGAATCCCTCTTTAATGTGCGACCAAGAAACAAAGATTTGGTCTGAAATTGTTCGAGTTATGAATTTTTTTCCGATTTTTTTTCCAATTTTCGTTTTTTCTGATACGGGCGGGTGGGGACGCTGACTATCAAAATTTTTTTAAATAAATTCTTATTGGTCACATTTTAAGGACCATTAATCCCTCTTTAATTTGCGACCAAGAAACAAAGAATTGGTCAAAAATTATTCGAGTTATGAATTTTTTCCAATTTTTTTCCCAATTTTCGTTTTTCTGATACGGGCGGGTGGGGACGCTGACTATCAAAAATTTATTAAAAATATTTTCAATTGTCACATTTTAAAGAGCAATAATCCCCCTTTAATTTCCGACCAAGAAATAAGCGTTTGGTCTAAAATTGTTCGAGTTATGAATTTTTTTCCGATTTTTTTTCGAATTTTCGTTTTTCTGATACGGGC